ATATATTCAAAATGATATTCTTATACACATCTGATTCGAAATTCATAATGGCCTAATTAAAAAGAACGTAAAAAGAATATCTGCAGTCTAATGTAATTTTAATCACTATTATTAAGCTTATCAGTCTCAATGCTTCACCCGATTTCGGCATTTGAAACAGTAACATTATAGTCTTTGTTTTAATTTTTGAATCAAAATAACAACATATAGAATTTAGGAAATTTAAACTTTGAAGAAACTAATCAATAAGTCACTAGTGGTAAAGAGTTCTGCCAAAATAGTAGAAATATCTAGAAGAAATTTTGTGACAAAAATATTGCTTGTAAAAATTGAACATCTTTGCTTTGTGTTTTCATTATGTTGTATTTATTATGTCCACTTAACTAAGATGTTGCTTGTTTTAAAGTAAATTATTTTATTAAACTTGTACCCTGTGTTGGATATACAAGACTGTTTATTTTATTTAATGATTTAATATTTAATGATCATTTAGTTTTCATAACAAGATTGTTAAAAGTTCATTATTTTAAAACTGATAGTTATGACAAGCTTCGTCACATAACTCTGTACGAGTCGTACGTTGTGTATGCAGTTAGATTGTTGTACTAGGCTTTTGTAATATTGTTGACGTCATCTTACTTTAAGCCTCTAATCTTTTCTACTTATGTGAAAATTGTTATCACTAGAGGGCTAGATAGCTCTAGATTTTTCTGTTGCGTGTTATAAATACGTGCAGATGCAGAGTGCAAGCAAGAAGTTAAAAGAAGTTCGTGAAAGTAAAAGTGAAAAAAGTGAAGTTAGACTGCGTGATTGTCATGTTAGCGGTAACAGGCGGTTTCTGAAGTAAAAGTATCACAGCTTGTATTGTAACAACAGAGATAGAGGATAATAATTTGTCTTGTCAAAGAGTGTTCTAAAGTAATTGGACCCGCCTGTGTGGACTTTGACGAAAAGAAGACAATTATTTAAAACTCTGGATACAGCTGTGGTAACCAACAGCTATAGTGGTGATTTTTAAGTGAGTTTCACAGCTTGCATTGTAACAACAGAGATAGAGAATAATAATTTGTTTTGTTAGTTGGGTTCTAAAGTAATTGAACCAGCCTATATGGACTTTTGACATAAAAGAGAATTATTTAAAGCTCTGGATATAACTGTGGTAACCCACAGGTTAACGTAAGTGAATTTATCACTGATTTTATTGTGATAACAGAGGAGAGAAGAAATAATTCGTCTTGTCAATTGATACTAAAGTAATTTAACTAGCCTGTGTGGACTTTTGATTTAAAAAAAAGATAATTATTTAAAGCTCTAGTCTCAACTGTGATAACCAATAGTGTTGCGAATTTTTGTACATACATTTAACTTGTTTTGAATATATACTATAATAAATGGATTGCTGTCCATTTATTGTTGACATTTATTGCCAACAAGTCACAGATACCTACTGTAAAGAATTCGGCCCCCATAAAACTGACACCCTCATTATTGCCCCTCTTATCATGGGTAGCCTAAGTGCAGCCCAGTGACTAGTGTACCCGACTGTGGATCTGAATTTCCACGGTTCGTGTCCCGATATTGGAAAAAAGAAACAGCACTCCACACTCTAGAGCCTCAGATGACAGTCAGATCCAAGCATTCAGTCTGAGAAGAAGTTAATGAGCTTGTGGTGGATGGTGTTGACTAGTTATCTTCTTTATATTTTTCTCAATTTAAAAATATGGTGGATATCTCAGCCATATATAGTGTCGCTTTGCGCAAAATTCAATAATACAAACAAATTTATCAGGTGAGACTGTTTTTTGTAATACTTTATATCACAGAGAAAAAGGAGTAACTTGTACGCCAGCGTCGTTTCTTTATGAATTTTTCCAACACCGCGTCGAAATTATTTATGAAATGTATAATTGTTTTTTGATAAAGTAGATCAGGTTTCTACTTTGTATTGACCACTGTATGTATGTCACTTACCCAAAATTAATTTCACCTTTTTTTTCAACTGGTGTGTAAGAGACACAATGTTTTAATGGTATACTTACTTAGTTTTCGTTACACTCATGTCACGTCTTTCCAAATTGGGTGTCAGTCAACTACAACGACTAATTATTTAAATTTTTGTGAAAAGAAGACAGAAATCAAAGGCTATTTATTGCATGAGCACTGTCAAACATAATTGTAGAAATAATGTTAAAATTTACGATGATTTAATCAATTTCAAGTGGTACTTCATAAATCGAGGTGGTCCTATCTTGATGTATAAAGGTTAGTTACAAAAGAACACAATACTAGAGAATACCTTTTAATTGTAGTTTAATAGTTCCTTTCAAGCGTAGACGTCGGAACTGTGGCACGAATATCATTGTCTCGTGCCAGTATTTTACCGACAACAATGTTTTATTTAGTCTTTTTCTATGCCAGCTAAAATGACTTAGTTTGTTTTGAATTTTGCGCAAAGCTATTCGAGGACTATCTGCGATAGCCGTCCCTAATTTAGGGAGGATAAACTAAAGAGATGGCGGTTAGTCAGTACTACCTACCGCCAACTCTTGGGCTATTCTTTTGACCATCACATTATAACGCTTCCACGGCTGAAAGGGCAAGCATGTTAGATGATGGAGATTCAAACCCGCAACCGCGCGCCCCAACCACCAGATCATGCTAGCAGAAATGAAAGGAGACTACAATTCTAAACATTACGCTGGTGGTAACTTTTTGTGCATCTGCATAACGTGTATACTGGTTATTATCTGAAACATTTATATTATTTGTATAATTTGTTCTTCTGAATTATTCAATAGACAAGCTGTTTAAGATGGTGAAAATGAATATGAAGTCCAATCTATCATATGATTCATCACTTGTCACTGAGTGATACCAATTTCAGGGAATTCCACTCGTCATTAGTAACCCTAGACATGGACAAATTGAAAAAAAAAAAAACAAGACTAGGCTTATAGTGGCAGTTTGTATATTATATGTATAATGTTTTAGTGAACCTAATTTGTATAGGAGTTAAAAAACAAATAAGCGTCTTTAATGATATGTAAGATACTGAAATTAAATATGAAGCCCAATATATCATTTGATTCACTGCTTGTCACAGTTATAGTTCAGTAAGTATAGAACAATTAAAAACACCATACATGTAGTATGAACTCCACTACTATAAGAAGAAGAAGCCTAATCTTGTTCATTTCATTTACCCCTTTTCGAGGGTTACTCATGAGGGGTGAAATTCCCCTAAAATTGGTATAATTCAGTGACAAGTTGTGAATAAAATGATATAGCGGGCTTTGTATTTATTTCTGATAATTTTTATTAATAACATTTATAACTAATCATTAGGTAACACATCTTTAAATGTTTTTAAACTTACCCTAGAATTATATATATATATATATGTGTGTGTGTGTGTGTATATAATGTTTATACTTTTAAGGGCTTTATCAAACAATGATGTTTCTTTCTTATCAGGTACCTTGCTTTTACGATACAATCCACGAAATACAATATTGGAGAGATGTGAAAAAATACCATTACCTCGAAACCACCATGCAATGGTTGTGTTGGAAAAATGTATCTATGTCATTGGTAAGGTTACAATTCATCATCAAGATGCATAATTCTTTGATATACAAGTATTCGTTTTCATTAAATTTTTTTTACATTTTTTTACATAGTCTCATAGATGATGGTAGGTTTCCGCTATCTCAATCATGCGATAGAACTCAGAACAGTCCAACTGTTCAAAAAGAAATGTGTGTTTTACGTGTGCTAGATTAAATAACGTTTACATTTTAAAACTTATTTTGAAAATACTGTTACGACAGCGGAGGTCACATGACGCTAGTAACACGTCACGAGCTTCTAGAACGTTCATGAAGCGTCGGGAGACTACTAGATATGGGGTAGTCTTGTGTATATAAGACCGGCCAAGAAGTGACGGGAACAGTGTGTAATTGAACTGCGGACAGAGAGAGATGTATTGTTGAGTCGAGCACGTGAGACGTTCGTTGTGAATCATAGCGTTTGTTATAGCGGGACTGTGGAAATTAAGTGTATTGCAAAGTTGTATTCAGAAAGAATAAACCAGATTTATTTAAGAAAGGACTTGTATCGCTAAAGTTTCTTCGGAAAGAATTTTTACGGAAAATTAACTAACGACCAGAGACATAACAAATTGGTGTCAGAAAGTGGGATAAAAAAAAAGAAATAAAAAAAAGAAGATGGAAACGAGAGGCGGAAAATCAAACTACAGCTTAGCAGATTTGATGGCAGCAATACA